GAACCCAAACAACGGTAATATTCAGAATATGTTCTTATATACTACATGAAATAAATGACTTCAGGCTCAACCTTAAGCTCAAGGTTAAACATCATACGATTTTATGTATTTAATGCATTGGGCAAACAAATATGCATATTTATGTAATTACTAGCTTATACCCGCGGGTTTCACCCCGCGCTTTTATACAAATAGGAAAAATAATTTAATGATGTTAGATTTTATTTCTGTGCCCATTTCGTAAAAGCTCGTTATTTTTTAAGCGAGTTAAGGTATTTAGGCCGTTTAAAACTATGAAATTATAAAATCTCGTCTGCGCGCTAGGCAAACGAAATATATCAATCCCTCTAAGTTTACCTTAAAATGTTTCCAGGTATACGACGCGAGAACGTTAAACCTTCTTGGAGATGCCACGGCGAGTTCTAATATTTCCAACTCAAATTTAGTAACCTGCTCTTGATAAAATACCACTTCTCATTACTGTAGCAAGTGCCTCAAGAGAGCTTTAGATTATAAGGCCGAACCCGGCTCTCCCTTTTCCATTTAATGAAATTTATTCTGTCTTCCACAAACACCTCCAGGGATATGTGGCAAGAAAAAGTAAATTTGTACTGGAAGTGAAACGCCCCTTTTTCTTATAACCCTAATCTTCTTCCATGAATTTAGAATTGATTTTACATACCCCAGTACCAAGTCCCAGTACTCCACCATGAAGACCTCTAGAGATAAGCAGTATAAAAGAGTAAATTTGTACGGCAAGAACCATGTCCCCTTTTCAAATAACGCAAATTTTTCTCTATGTGTATGGAATTAATTTTGTATACACATCTCGGAGCCAAGTTCCAGTCCTCTGCAATAAACACCTCCAGAGATATGCAGCATAGGTGGAGTTGCCACACCACCTTTTCCAATAACTCTTATTTTTCTCCATGAATATGGTACTAGTTTCACATACATACATGCATACATATGTATTGCCATACCAAGCTTGATTGCTTTACCCCAAAAATTTGAAACGGTATCCAATATGAAACTTTCAGTCAGTATGGGAGGTGCTACGCCTCTTTTCCAAAAACGTCCATTTTTCACCGTGAATGTGAACATGATTTCACACAGTGTTGGCAAACTGTTAATCTGATTAACGATTAAAAATTAACGATTAAAATGTTAATCGCGTTTGACGATTAAAATTAATTAGTCGTAATCAACTGTACGATTAATGATAACATTTTTTAATCGTTAATCGCTGGCTGCGATTACGTTTAATTAATTTAAGACATTAATCGTTAATCCAATTTAAAACAAAATCTGATTAATATGTCTAGTTTGTCCGAGTTTGAAACCAAACACCAGTTATAGTAATTATTTTGTGTTTTACGCTTATAAAACGCAAGTAATATAAACAAATAATAATTATTGTTATAAGTAATACATAAACTGGGAACTTTTACAAACCTAGTTTGTAAAACGTTTGTTGGTATATATCTTAATGAAACTGCACACCGAATTGCTTAGATTGATGAGGAAACCCTACTTAGCCATACCGGATTAACTTGCTTTGTGTGCACAAGGAAATTCCAGCATATTTTAATTAATCACCAAACCTACTTGATCAAATTAAGAGTTAATGATTAAAAATTAATTTTTTAACTGTAATCAGATTGAATATAATCGAATTAACTAGCTAATTAAAACATCAATCGATTAATGCCAACATTGATTTCACATACATATCACTATACCAAGTTTCAGTTCTCTCCCACAAATACTTCCAGAGATATGTATGTAATGTGAAAATTCCAATTTGTATGGGAGGGGCCTTGAGGTATCGGACTTACTTTCAGTGTAAGACCATCCCTCCGAAATCCGTAGTAAGTGTACTAAATTTCGTTCTTATCGGAAAACCGGTTAAGGAAGTAGCCTATTTTTCAATCCAGGTCATAAACCATCCTTGAGCAAAATTTCATTTTCAAACAGGTGGCAATTCTTAAAAACGTAGCCTACTTTCCAATCTAGGTCATAAGCTTTCTGTGTGCAAACTTTCATGCAAATCAGTTCCGTAATTTACGCGTATTAATTTAATTAAACTTTCCCTACATAGGTCATAAGCTATCTCTGCGCGAAATTTCATGCAAATCTGTTCAGTCCTTTCCGCGTATTAATTTAATTAAAACTTGTTTAACAGGTGGCAACTCTCCCAAAAAATTAGCCTATTTTCCACTGTAGGTCATAAGCTATCTGCTTGCTAAACTTCATGCAAATCCGTTGAGAATGTTCCGCGTATTAATTTAATAAAACTTTTTTAGCAGGTGGTAACTCTTAAAAAAATTAGCCAGTTTTTCAACCTACCTCATAAGCTATCTATGTGAGAACTCTCATGCAAATCAATTCACTCATTTCCACGTATTAATTAAATTAAAAATTTCTGACAGGTGGCAACTCTTAAAAAAGTAGCCTACTTTCTAACCTAGGTGATAAGCTATCTGTGTGCAAAATTTCATGCAAATCTGTTAAGTCGTTTCCGCGTATTAATTTGACTAAACTTTTTTAACAGGTGGCAACTCTTCCAAAAAATTAGCCTATTTTCCACTGTAGGTTATAAGCTATCTGTTTGCAAAATTACATGCAAATCCATTCAGTCGTTTCCGCGTATTAATTTAATGAAACTTTTTAACAGGTGGCGACTCTAAAGAAAAGTACTCTGTTTTCCAATCTAGGTCATTAGCTATCTGTGTGCAAATTTTCATGCAAATCTATTCAGTCGTTCCCGCATTTTAAATAAATTAAACTTTTTTAACAGGTGGTAACTCTTAAAAAATAGCCTATTAACCAATCCGGCCCATAGGCTATCTGCGTACATAATTTCATGCAAATCCGTGTAGTCGTTTCCGCGTGATGATTTCCCAAACATCCAAACATACAATCTTTCACATGTATAATATTTATATAAGATATTATAAGATGTCGGTGTGTACATAGAGCGTGAGCGCATAGGTCCCTGCGCATGGGTATATATTAGGGCGGGTCAATTTGTATAGATCGATTTTTTTCGACATTGTTCCTAGCATATTCGGATTCTTCATAAAATTCTAAGAAAAAAATTCCTGCAGACCATAGCTCTAAAGTCAATTTCGAGCCTGCGCATTTTTAAAAGAAGATATAAAAATGAATTGCTGTCCGTTAGCCTCCCTAAGACTCGAAAACAGCTTGGCCGATTTGAATATTTTTATTTTTTTGGTTTGTTTTTTATAATATCCGGATGGTTAAAACCAGAAAAAACCACCTGTTTAAAAATTTCAATATAAGTAAATTAATTACATAAATTAGATATTGCAATATGGGTGGCAAAAGAAAGAGGTTATGAAGGCTTACAGGCGAAAATATTCTTGAGGGGGGTTGCCACCTGTTTCAAAATTTAATTAAATGAAATTGATAAGATAAATTAAATATTGCAATATGGGTATCAAATTAAAAAGGTTTAAGAAGGCTTACTACTGAAAATATTTTTGAGTCGAGTTGCCACCAATTTCGAAAATTTAATTCAATTAAGTTAATAAGATAAAGTATGTATTATAATCAGCGTTGCCGTTTTGGTCCAATTGGACCAAAATTGGTAGCTTCATTCTCCTTTGGTAGTTTGGTTGGTTTGATGAAGCTTTTGGTAGGCAAAAATGTTTTGAAAATTCAATCGAACTTGGCATTAAAATTTGTTCACTTTGCGTTTATATGTTGAAAACATTGCTTTCACTTTGCTCACACGTATAAGTTTTTTTTTTTCTAAATTTTACTAAGAACACAATTTTCTAGAAACAAAAACTCACTTTTAAAGCTATGATCGATCATCTGTTGAAATTGAACGAAAAATTACCTATCGTCTTGAAAGAAAAATTGGTGATAGGCAATTTGCAAAGTGTGAGTTTATTGGTAGAAAAAGGGGGAGAGTATGCAAATTGAAACAAGATTGAAATGCATAAAATGTCTGATTTTGTATTTTTAAACATTAAAAATGTTTGATATGAATTGAATTAACCTCAAAGGTAATCACATTTTTACAAAAGTTTTTTTACGCAATACGTTAATTCTTTTGTTTAAAAGCCCGAAGCATGAATGGTTAACCAACAATAAACAATATTATACTGCCAATTCGTGTAGCTAAAAACCCTGTAAATGCATGCGTTTTAATAATGAACAAAGATTTGGTAGTTTGGAAACTGATTTGGTAGGCGTTTTGGTACCTAAAAATAAACTCCAGTGGCAACACTGATTATAATATAGGTGTCGAACGAAAAGTATTTGAAAAATTATTGATTAAGAAATATTTTCTATAGGCCTGCCACCTACCTGAGCGGTAAAAACTAAAAGCCATACTCGCAAATATTATTCAAAGCTTTTGAGGCTCGCATCAATGTGGAATACTGTAACTCTGTCAAGTTAGTGTTTATTGATGGCAAACAAAGTACTATAATGTTTGGCAATGATATCACCCCATCGAACAATGCACTTA